GTACATATACATATATAATTAGCAGGATTATAAATTATATTTTTTATGTATAAAATGATAAATTTGTTTTTCTTTCCTGCATTTACTTAAAAATTTATTTCTAATACAACTCTAATACTAATGATGTAAATTATAATTTGCTTAACGATTACAGCTCAAATTTTACAAATTTATAAACATATGCAATGGTACCTTTGAATTTTCTTTTATATTTGAATCATTCAATAAAGATATGAAAATATACAATGAACTTCTAAGGGATGCGAATTCTGAAAATTGTTTTATCAAAAAAACAATTACTTTATAAACATATATAATGCCTCTGAATTATATAAAATGTATTATTATCTCAATAATCCTTTTGACAATGAAAAATATTTGAGTCAAATTTAATTCAAATGTAATTAATCAGAGGTTTTACTACAAAACTGGTGTTAAATTTAATTCTTTCAATTAGTATAGGTTTACACGCACACGCTGAGCTCCGAGAGACAAGTTCAGAATTTATGAAGCTCTGCATAGACTATTTGACTTGCTAGCAAGTATTTTTGGCTAATGGTGACTCTCAATGGCAGCATCATGTAAGCTATGACAAAAAAGAAAGGAACCAAAAAAGTGCAGGATAGTCCTTCTAAATAGCCACCGAATTCCCCATTATGGCGTGTTGAACGAATTGGTATCCTAGAAATCGGTTACTAGGAAATAGGTAAAAAGACAGACCATGAAACCATACTAGCGATAGAACGTGAGATTGACTTGCATGAAACGGCTTTAAACATACCATATGACTTAATACCTATCACTCACCCAAAAATGTAGCAGAGAAGGAAGCAAAAACTAAAGAGATAATAAATCTTGCTGAACAAACTTTTCTATAGATACTAAGAGAACTGAAAAACCCGAAATTGCAGAGGAGCAGATTGATACCTCAGAAAATCAAAATTATATACAAGAACCTACAACAGGATCAAAATTTTGGCAGACACCCAATAAAACTTGCAGATCTCCCCGCAAAAATACCCAACTCATAGAAACTCCACAGAAAAATAGATTCGCCACTTTAATTGATGAAAACCCAACCCAAGAGAAGAATGCAGAATTAGTTAAAGAAAACTCAAATATCCCACCCATAGTCATTACAGACAATGAGACTGATTGGCTAGAAATTGAGAAAGTTTTAACAGAAGTGTGTAAATCCAAATATGAAGCTAACATAAAAGTTTCCTTTTAACTACTACCCAAGAAGATTATCAAAGCACAGCAGAAATTTTTAAGAAGATGCAAATAGACCTCCACACTTATTCCGTTAACAATAATAATACTGTCAAAGTCATAATCAAGAATATCCCAAGCTCCGTTACCGAAGCAGCAATTTTTGAAGATCTCGAATCACATAAATTTCCAGTTTTAAAAGTTAAACAGGTTACTAAACATATTGAAAATCAACTGATCAAGTTACCTATATTTTTTACAGAACTAAGCAGAAATAAGGAAGGTGAAGCAATTAATAACATCAATAGAATCTTCAGTTTTAACGTCACTATAGAAAAATACACTCCCAGAAAAAGACCCAATTAGTGTTACAAGTGCCAATAGTTCGGACATTCACAAAACACCCGTTTCAACAAAGTAAGATGTGTTAAATGTGGAGACAATCATAGATCAAACACTTGCACTTTAAAACCAGAACAAAATCCAAAATGCATCTTTTGTTCAAACAAATAGGTAAAGTTTATAGGAAAATAATTTAGATTTAGAAAAAAATATTTTTTCCCACTAACATTTTTCTGAGAAATATTAATATTTTTCTATGCATCCCCTTGACCAATTTTTTATGTTTAGATTTTTCAACATTGTCAAAGTAAGTTGTGACGTTAAAAATACAAATACAAAATAGTAAATATCCAATAATACTCTTAAGGTAGCACAAAAAGGTCTGACTTAAGAATTTGCATAAATGAGCCTGGAACGTTTTCTACAAAAAAGAAAGATAAATGCATAACAGAAGAAAAGCATGTCAGTATAATTTTTTGGTAGGTGCTCGAATTTTAATAGATAGTTAAATGGTCAAAAGGTATATTTCAAAGTAAAATTACGTTTTTAATTTTAATATTGAATCAATTTTTTTCAGATCAATTCATTCTCAATCAATTTCTGTCTATATATTACTTTCAAATTTCTTATGATATCCTGATCAAAATGTTGCCTGTGAAACATAGCAGTTAAGAGGCAAAATTTTTTGGTCATGTCTTAGAGAAGAAACGTTGGATAGACCTTGCAGTTACCCATGAAAAAATAGAGTAAAAGAATGGTTAAACATGTCTTGCAGTTATCTATGAATACCCACACATTTATTGACATCTTTCCGTTAGTCACTGAAAATTTCATTTCTCATCTAGGCATTCTTATTAGCCACATATAGTTAGTAATGGTTTCCGTTTTGAAAAGCAACTAATAATCAGAATTGAAAAATTTCCACTTTGTTTACAGCTAGCAATAATTTAATTGCACTTAATTTATTCTGTATACTTCCTTGGCACTCTTCTATCTTGAATGCCTTGTTTTATAGGGTAAATATTGAAAGAATAGGGAAAGAAAGGTCTTGCTTTACCAGAATTGAAAATATTCCTCAGTTTACTGGCTATCATGTATGAAATGAATGAGTTTCTGGGTCAACTCTTGAAAATGCTTTGAGGTACAAATGCTTCATATGATATACTTTTGAAACTCTTAACCCCCCCTGCGGAGGACTTAGAATGTTTTGCTATGGCAAAAGTTTTCTACAGAATGAATAACCTTTCTCTGTAACATAACTTTATCAACAAGAGCTCCTTTGTTATAAAATTACTGAAACCACTATCTTACATAAATATCTATACTCATAAAACAACTTTTTAATTTTGATTTTTTAGTTTCTTCTTATTTATATAAAACTCAGCTTTTGTTTTCTTTGTGACAAAACAGTATTCAAACAGAATACCAATTCTGGATGGTTATTCTACACTACGAGAGTTGACAGCAAGTTTTGGGCCGCCAGATGTCGCTGCTAGTGAAAAAACAGGTTTGCCCGACATCCTATATTCTCTGAGTACGGAAGTTGTTGAAAGCGCACGAAAAAGTGTTGCCGCATTGTCAATCAGGGTTGTGCAGTTGATGTACTAAGTAGACAATGGCATTGTATGTGTTTTCACCACTGATTTTTTCATATTTAAATGAAGAATACGGTCATAGATCTCTGAATCGGTGGTGAATTTATAGAAAATATGTTGATGCTTTTGCTCTGCCAGAAGCTGTTTTCATTGTGTATTTCAGATTATCAAAATTTATAGTTATTTTAATTTGCGATGAATTGAGAGTGTATTTGGAGCCACATTCAGAAAACAAGAAAGCAATTTCTACTGAAAGAAAGGTTATTTATACTATTCCTGAAATTATAGATATAAATTGTAATTATATGCTTAAAAATGTAGAAGATTATAAGTTTATCAAGCACATAAACCTTCTTCATTTAATACAAATATAAGTATCCAATAAGCTTCTACTTGAATTATGTACAGCAAGAATTACGTTTATTTTAAAATCTAATAGTCGAATACCTTACAAACAATACTGTGAACATAAAAAGGAATGTCGTTCATTATTACGCGAAATTCACACTACTGTAAAATAAAAATTACAAAACTATAAAATAGTTTTATAATATTTTTTTCAGTAGCAGTACTACTACTAGTGTGATACTTTTACATTGCCATCAAATACTATCGCACTGTATTATATTTAAAGAAATTAAATAATGAGGAATCTGCATAAATGTATGAATGTTTCTCGCACTGTGATAAAACAATGGTACCTAGAGCCATGAAGTTTTGAATAACATAATCCTCGATCCTAATATAGGCATCTAGAGGCCCAAATTTGGAACTGTGAATTTGTTTTATTATCTATTTCATATTTTGTAAAGTATTTATGAGTGTTTGATTAAGAAACTCAACGATTTCAAAGTGAGCAATGTCAACATTGTACGGAAAAAAAAAAAAAAAAAAGAGGAAAAAAGCATTTTCATCTCTAGCGTGCGAGACTATGTATCGGAAATTCTAAAGATATGCTCTTCTTAAATTATATGATATTGCTGTTGAATTGAATTTTATGGTTTAAGTGGGAAGAACATATTTAATAAATAAAGGTAGCACGCAAAACATTTAAAAAATGGCCCTTTGGGAGTAATATAAAATCTGAAAACTTTCTTATATAAATATATATATATACATATTTGTGCATGTGTGTGTTATTATGTTTTAAAACTGGTTTCTAAGGAAGGACTATTTGAGGGAAACTTTTGCAAAATTCTTCCAGTTCTGTAGCAAAGACTTTTTGCAACAGAACTGGAAGTAAATGATGGTTCTAATCTGGTAGTATGATAGTTCTATTTCAGACACCTTGCACTTAACGATATTTTTTTACAAATTTTACAACTCAGTGTTCTAAGTCTCATTCTTTTAAATGTCAAAAATTGTTTGACAAAATATGATTAAATGTGTCAACACGAACTGTTTGCACAGATGATATTTGCGGTGGCGGGAAACTTCTGTTTAAACTTGATATATTCACCTGCCTTACCATCCTTTCAGCATGATACTATGGAAAGACTACTTCTCAAGAACAACCTGAGTTGCCAAATAGTGCATTTATGTCACTGAAGTTTTGAATTATTGATATTTCAGTCTCTATTTAAAGTGGAGATAAATGAAAAATACTTTGAATTTAAGTTGAAAACTTCGGAAATAATTAAATTTTGAGAGAGATTTCTGAAACTTAAAATCTGAGATAGATAAGTTTTGCTATAACAATAATACAAATACATATCAGTACATTTTTGAATTTCAGTATTATTAGATACTTTCCTCTGCTTTACAGAGACTTTTTTTTTCCATTTAAGAATTTTTATAATGTTTTTAAAAATTCTGTAACTGCAATTCATATTTTTTAGTGCTAATACTCACTGTTCTCCCTGAAGGTAAAATTACATCTTTACCATTCTTCAGTTCTCCTAATAATGGGCCCCTATAATTTTAACAGAAGGATAAAATTATATACATTGAAATGAATTTTTTAAAAAAAAATATGGAGATGAAATAATATTACTTTTCTTATTTTTCACACATTACAAAATGACTTGATTACATTTTTATATAATAACAATATTATTATTATATATTATAATTCATATAATAATATTGTAATTTATAATATTATAATTTATTTTATTAATATAAAAATTTATATAATAATAATTTTTATTCATAATGCCATGACTTCCAGCATTATTGCATTCTGAAATATAAATTACATGAAAAATATATAATTTGTTGCTATTTAGAAATTTTTCAAAATTAGTGTTTTTTTCAACAGAACTATTTACCTTAATATCTGATTATTTTTTTAGAACACAATTATTAAAATTTTGATGATTTTTAAGATTATTATCTTTCTAATAAAACTAATTACAGAATGGTATGTAATACAAGTCAGGCAATATTAATTAATATAGCTCAATTCACCATGGAATTTTTCCAATGCATAAAACATTACATGTGTTATATATATCAATAACAAATAAGAACTTGTAATACTGTAATATTAATTAGCTTATTTTGAAATAAAACCAGGTATTCACAGTTGAGATGAATATCATACAAGAAAACTGCCATTCAACATACATATATGGTCTTAGAATGATTCAATGACGTTCTAAAAGTCTGATTTTTTTTTTATATGAGACACAAAAGAGTTTTAGCTTTTTACATTATAACTTTTTAAAGGCCACAACACAGTATTTAGTCAGGTATTAATAAACAAATAATAATAATCAGAAAAAACTTAATGCATGAAAAAATTAAATTTATTTTTTTCAATAATACCTGTTAACTTTATGATAAGATGTTACAGCCCAAAAATAGTTATTAAATTACATTAAAAAACAGCAACTCAAAGTTGGAAGTTGTTAAGTCTAGAAATTACAAATTAAATTATAGCTTACGGAGGTACACCTTCTTCAACACACTTGTGTATTAAAAGATGGCCGGGTTTGCTGTGACCCTGAAAGAAAAAGAGCAAAAAAATATACTCAGTTGAATAGCAACCATTACTTTACAACAGTAGTTTGTTAACAATATAATTTTTGTTTCAAATAAGATATTTTAAAAGCACTTAGTTATGGGGAAGTGCATGACAATTAAGTGTTTTAAGGAATACTTCTTTAAGGATTTCATTAGCAAACTGACTCCCATTTATATTAGAGGAAGAAACGGTACTCACATATTATTCTGTTGACTGTGAAGATGTCATCAAGTAACATAATTTAGCACAAATAATGGATAGCTGTGCAGTAAGAATATAACACATAATATCTGCACTTTTGTTTGATGTAACCCCAACTGATTCTTGATAAGTCACCTTTTATTTTTATGTACAAGCATATAAATTAATTGTTAGTGTTGTACTTTTTCTTGCATTTTGAAAAGATGATTAAAATTTGGGATCTGCTTTCTACACAGCTGCAAGCAGTCAATTATTTTCAAAGTTACCGGATCTTACCGTCAAACAAGTATATATTAATAGACACAATATGGCTAGCTGAATATAGCTAACAAAACATTAATAAACAGGAGCATTTACCTGGGGGAAGTTTGTACTCATAGCATTCTAGACAGAGCTTCTTAACAAAAGAATATAAATCAATGAATATGTCATTTTACAAAGCATAAAAATAAAGCAGGTCAAATACTGATTATTTACTAAATAAATTCAGTTTCTTCAGAATTCTGCAAAAAATGACTGGTGTATCTTTGGCAGACAACTTTCATGGTCGATGGGATAATATGCAAGCACCGGAAAACTATGAAAGCCTACAGAAGCAATCGGTTCTTTTGAGTATTGAATACTGAATAAAACTACAAATGTTCACTGAGCAACTTAATAATTTTTTTAAAGTTAATATTAATTAAGCTTATTCATGGAAATAAATGAATGTATATAGTTTTTATTATAGTTTTAACAATAATGTTCTTATTCTTTTTAACTACACTTGAAATTTTATTCTGAATGACAGAGAGAAAAATATATTGACACATTAAATTAATAATGCAGACTCTTTATAAAAACATACAGATTCTAAACATAAAAAATAATCAATTGGAAATGGTACAAGTCAGTGCAGTCCAACAGTTCTGAAACTGAGCATAATGTTTTTGAGCTTCAAAAACAGAAATGACCCCTCCGCCCCCCAAAAAAAAACCAACATTAGACTTAAAAATGTGTGAGAATTTTCCCGCTAAATGATAGGAAATGAAATTCCTAGCAACATCTACTGATGATAAAGCAACTAAGTAACAAGTTCTTAAAGGCTAACAGTAAACAGCGGTTAGAATTTTCATCTTCCCCTTTGGTGGTTGAAGACAATAATGACTTTCAAACTACAATACTGCAAGTTTACTGCTGGCTGATGATTTTACTGTGTTCACTGTCTATTTTGTACTACTATTTTCTTTCTTCGTTAGTTCTTTTTTTTCACTAGTAACAGTACCATATTAAAGAAACTGCATTTGAACAAATTGTGAAGGTAAACAAAATCTGTTAATTTTTCGGCAACATTTTATGCTTTTTCCTTGGGGGAGGAAGGCAAAATGCTCTCTCACAAAAGCATTGAGGAAGTATAGTTCAAGCATATCTAAATTTGAATAGTTCACTTATTTGTTACATTAGATCTTGCTTTAACATAAACTTTTCATAGTTCTCTTATATTAATAGTACATCAAACATAAGTAAGTTTAAGATAAACTATTTTACATTTATATAGCTAACATAGAAATATATCAGAAAAATTTACCTTGCACACATAAGCCATTGTCATGTCAGAATATGCTTTGTACCTCGACAGCCGCAATTTCTTAGGTTCTATAAAAATGAAAGAATATATCCTTAAATCCAAACATATTATTTAAAAATATTAATATATCAAATACAATGAAAATCTTAAAATCCCAGCACAACTCTTTTAGTAAACAAGCTGATAGACACAAAGAACAATATTCATATAACAATCTCTATATGGAAAAGTAATATTTTACATGCAATTTTAAGAGTTGTATACTATATGCTTCAAAAGTTTGTTCCATAGAAATGATAATCACTGGCTACTTTATTATTTAAAAAATAGCTGAAAAAAGTGCATCAACTGATATCTGTTTCCTTTTAAAAAAACCTTGATTACACACATTTTTAATAAGAAGAATTATTAAGATGTAAAGTGATACTTGCAAGTTAACAATACCTTAGCTTATAACCATACAAGACAGTCAACCCATTGGAATTTGAAGGAAACAATTTTAAAATGAAATTTTGTCAATACGTATCTTTAAAACTTACTAAATAAATAAAATTTTATAAAAGCATTTCTCATTTATTTCATGGAACTAGAATTCTAAACTCGATATCTGGCAAAAATTTACTTACACCTTTTACATTTAATTTTGGAACTTTAAATATTAGATTTTTAGAAGGAAAAACTTCTTACGAAATAACTTATTATCCAACTTCTAATAACATTACAACCTGTTAACATATGCCTGTTAATTTAGCAGTCGAAGAAAAATAAAGCTATGTACCTTAATTATTTGCTTATGTTTACAATATTAAAAAAATAGAGATGCTAATGGAAACCTAATAAAAGAATCTAAAACCTAAAAACAAATACTTCCTTGTTCAGAAATATGGAATGATCTTAGAGTTAATAAAGATAGAAAATGTTTAAATGAAACTAGAAGCTACTTTGAATATTACTTTTCCTATATTTTCCTATATTACTTTTCCTAAATATTACTTTTGTAAATTATAAATTTAATAATAAATCTGTGTTTAATGCTTTTAAAGTGCCAAGTCTGTCAATTAATAAAACAATAAATCTGAAAGAAAAATTTAATATCTTATGCTTTGCTGATCAACAAAAAACTGCTGGGTGGAAGATATATTAATTTGGGAAGTGGCAACACATTTATGTTAAACTGCAAAGTGTTTACAGTCAAAAGTCGTTAATTCGGACACCCATAATCCGGAATGATCTACAATCCGGACCTCAAAGCTACAAACTTTCTACGCATGCATTGTGTTGACGCTGCGAATCTGCGTGTGCGCATGCGCGTTTAATGTATAATGTACGGTATATACTAAGCTAAAATTATCTAATTCAGTTAATGTTGCAGATTGTGTTGTTCCTTAATCTTCGAATTGGATCCGGCTTATTATTTTTTGCAGACTGTTAGAGCAGTTTTATAAAAGTAAGCTTGAACTTTCGATTATGTCAAAAGAATTTCCGATATATATTTACTAATATGCAAAGGATTTACAAAGCGAAAGTATGTTTCGAAGTCCATTAAACAAAAAGTGGAACTGCTGGAAAAAAAAAAAAAAAAAAAAGGATAAAGGCATATCCTTTGTTTATCTAACCATTCCGAAATCTGCTTATCAACATCACACTGCTCTGTGGCGAGGGGGGGAATGAATTGGAAGTTGATCTGTCAGCACTATCCTTATCTTCAGGGCAGATGTTTTTATTTTATCCGGCTTATAATTCCTTACTAAATGTAGTATTCATCTTCATCTTGATCTTTGATATGATGTAAATCAAATTCCTCGTCATTATAATTCGCTTCCGACAGTGAAGAAAGTGACACAGAGGTTATTGAAAACGAAAAAATTTCGATTGACAAATTAGTCGGTATTCTCGACATAGCAATTATAGGATTTGAACAGCAGAACTTTGTAACTGAACAAGAAATTATGTCTGTTTATAGAATTAAAGCAAAAGTATTATCACATAAAACGAAGCAACTTAAACAACTTACATTGAAAGAAATGTTTAATAAAGTAAACAAATAAATATTAAGCTTTTTTTTTTTTTTTTTTTTTTTTTTGTAAATTTTAATACCCTTTAGATCATAATTGTTCTTTGTTTCATAAATTACGGTTTCATATTTTTAATTTTATAATTTCTGCATGCTATCTTACCAGATTTAAACTGATGATCTATAATCCGTAAAAATCGATAATCCGGAATCGCCGAAGTCCCGTCGAGTCCGGATTAACGACTTTTGACTGTATTAAATTCAAAAGACAAATATATTGTAAGCGGCAAGACACAACTTTTATACTGCTGAGTTTTCTGATAAAATTTGAAACATCTTGCGCTTTGCAGAGTGGCAATACAAAGCTTCAATAATGACACACTGTACTACTATATTATATTATAGATTTAAATTTAATTCTTAATCTTTTCTATTTAAAAAATACATCCTTTTCATTTCAAAACTAATAAAGAGTTTTCAGTTAACATTAATTACATAATTATGCACAGACAATCAGTAAATATCTAACTAACCATATATTTTTAACCAATAATATACATAGAGTATTTACACATTTTTGGAATAATTTCAATAACGAATAAAAAAAAATGTTTTGGAATAAAAATTTCTGGCAACAGCTTATTATTTCAAATGCTAAATATTCTCAGCTGCTTTAATTCCCCCCCCCCAAATGACACAGATAAACAGGATCTGGATTGAATGATATGTTTTGGGGCTTTCTGAAGAGAAATATTTCTATTCCATAATAAAACATTGTGAAATGGATGGTATTAAAATTTTTAAGTGCAAAATAAGCAAAATTATGAATAGGAAAAATCATCAATCATTAGTCTTACATAAAAAGAAAACCTGCAAACGAATATCCAAAAAATATGTGTACTATTTATAATGTTTTCAAAGTTAAATTGTTGGTAACATGAGCTAAGCTAAAAATTATCTAATTCAGTTAATGTTCCAGATTGTGTTGTTCCTTAATCTTCGAATTGGATCCGGCTTATTATTTTTTGCAGACTGTTAGAGCAGTTTGCAAAATCATCAACATATGTAACAATAATCAATAAGAGAATAAAAACATAATTTACACCAGCTTTTGCCGAGGTATACGGCTCAATGCAAAACAATCTGTATGAAAATTGCGTGAAAAATATTTAGTGGAAGAAAAATGGAAATACATTGTGATCCTTGACAAAAAATGGGTTTAAATTAAGGACTGAAAAAAAAAAAAAAAAAAAAAAATATATTGTTAAAAACAAAGAGAAAAAAATGGACAAACCTGATTCTGTCAATGAAAAGAAAGTTTTAGTAAGAGCTTTATGATTGTCGGAGGATTCTCTTACAATGGGAAATTATACATAAGAAGGGGGATGCAAAAAATCCACTCAACATATTATCAAGAGAAAATTTTACATCCAACATTTACAGAAGAAATTCGATTCTTATTCCAATAATTTTAAAGGCAAGAAACTTCATCAAGACAAAGCAACAAGTTACATTTTGAAAAGTATTACTACATTCCTTGAAAAAATGAAGACTGATATAGGTATTGCATATATAACTTTTCAACATATTCCTGTGAAGTTTCTTGATTTTTTTAGCTAAGGGCTAACATGCCTTTGGTCTTTTTAAAAGAGTTTTTTCTAAATGCAAACCTACCCCAATTTATGAACAATCCTTCTACCGTGAAATCACGATGCAGAATTACAGTTCAAAAATTAGACTATCAGATCAAGTATATAAAGAGTTTTATGGTAAAAAAGTATATTTATGGTATGTATAAAGAGTTATTTAGTTCATGTTTAAATATAAAGAGTTTTACCTCACATGGTCCTAATAGTGTGTAAGCACCCTCTGTAATACACTGACAGATCCCTCTTTGGAAAATTTTGTAAACTGGGAGGAAAAAAAAAGATGATTGGAGATAACTTAAAATCATCTTTGTTTCTCTCTAATTTATAAAATAAATTAGGAATTTTTCTAAATAAAAACATAAACATTTTACCAATAAAATACCTGAATACTGATATCCATATCAATCATGTTAACATTACACAAATTTATAATTCTTTCAACTGTTGAAATTGCTTTTTTATTCGAAATTATTAAATTTGCCCTATGCTTTGATTTAAATACTATTTTTCAAAGCAACTCTTAAACTCCCTTGCAGAAGAAACTAGTTTAAAAAATGGCATCAATTAGGTACTTGTTAATATTTTTGGGCAATTATTTTGACAAATTTCACAATAAATAATTTTTATGCATATCATTTTATTAATACTAAGATTTCTATATAAGACTTTTGGATCTTCAGATAATTTTTTTTTTTTTACACATTTGATAAAATTACACATATGTAACAAAGAAGTAAATATACATAAACAATAACCCTTCATTTTACTATAGAAGGTAAAAACTATTACAATTATGAAAGAAATGAAACGCATTAAATTTTAAAATTAGTAAGAGGTGATTTGTAAGTTACCTTTATATGAACAAATAAAGATATCATTAAATTTGAAAACATAATTTTGAGTAACTATATAAGACTAAGTTACTTTAAAAAAGGTAAAAGTATTTTAAATCAACCAAATATATTTCAGCAGAAAACTTTTTGCCAATAGAAATGGTTTTTAAAAAGCATTAACAAATGAAAGCGAGGAATACATACATTTTTCATATAGAATTCTTTCACTAATTTATATTTTCATGCCAGACACAGTTCAGCAATGATTTTCAAATTACAAAATCTAGCAACGTGTTTTAATTATTTCAAATGAAAAATCTGACAGCTTTACAAAACTCCTATTTTGAAAATTTTAAATTCTAAGTTTGAAAATTTTTATTATATTTGCCACTATTAAGAAAAATCTGTATAATTTTATTTATTTATTAAACTCCTTTAAAAAATACACAAACTAAGAACTAGCATCAAAATGGTTTAGACTTGGAAAAATGATGGTAAAGTCATTCAAAAGCAAGTTAGAAATTTTATGCTGAAAAGAATACAATAAAAATAACTATTCAAATATGCTATGCGTGTTTTGACAACAAAATGATAAAATACATGAAAAAGGTGTATATTGGCTACTCTAGCATTCTTAGCATCGCTCGTTAACTTTGCCATGTACACATGCTATCTGAATCATGCTAACACACATTAAGAAAAAAAAAAAAAGAAAAGAAGAAAGAAAGAAAAAAAATTACCTATTTTTTCACTTGAAAGAATAGAATTTTCAAATTAAACATTTTCAAAACAATCATAGTTATTCATCATGGGCTTCTGTAATTCTTTGCTTTTTCATTTCCAAAAGTTAAAGATTACATATGTTTATATCATTTTAATTGAATAACTCAATTTAAACAATATTGGATAAGTATTCAGACTGCAAATTATCTTAAGCGTTTATAATCCCTATGAGCTATATCCATCCCATATTGAAGAAAATTTTCCTCTTAGCAAAATGCATATCAAAATGAAACTTACTACGTGAAGGAGATTCAAATTCATTTAAATCAGAATCAGACGAAACTTCTGATGACTTCAGTTTTCTGAACTTCTCATGTCCATCTGATGAGTCAGACTCTGATGAAGAGCTAAGCATTTCCTGACTATTAGAAGGTTTGTAAATGGGGATATATTGTATTTCCATGCAAGAATCACTATAAGGCTTTTCATTGTGATTTCTCTTTACTAAATAAAAAAAGAAGGTAATATTATGGGGGGGGGGAGGAAAGCATTCAAGGAAAAAAAGAACATTTCTTTTCAACTGAATAAAGACATATCCATTTGATTGCATTTAAATGAAAATGAAACAATCTAAAATATATGATAAGCACTGAATATAAATTGCTAGCGGCTACTTTAATATTTACAATTGATTTTCAAACTTCAATTATTAATTCATATTCAGTATTTATTGTAGGTTAAAGGGTTGCATTCTGTCTTTGCATTTTTTGGGCTGGTCACATGACTACACTGACCCACTGAGCAACTTCCGGCCTAAGTTAGCCTAAAGGCAACAAACGGAATATGTTGCTCAGAGGTAAAACCATCTACTATGTACTGGCCACAATCTTAGGTTGGGCCGCGGGCATTAATTGCCAAAGTCAAATTTCAAAGTTTACATTTATACAATATACAGAGTTATTTGGATATACTGCATAAGTTGAAGAAATACATCTGAAGTTATTATATTAAGATTTTCCAGAATAGTTAAGACAGGAATTGACAGCCGCCTACAGTAACAAACATGGTAACAATAAATGCAAAACTTTTAAAGTAGAAGATCATAGTTAGATAAATGTCAGTCATATATAACAGAAAAACACAAGTAAATGAATAATAAGTATCAACACCCCGTTCAGAATCTGCATGCTACTGAAATGAAGTATATAGTCATGAAAGAATCAAGTCTGATCTCTAGATCGAAGTTTAAGTGTAAATGAACATACTTTATGTTCCATAATCCAGTACTAAACGTTTTGTCCAACGCAAAGTATTGTGCAGTTCATGCAAGATTCAAGTCATATAACTCAGAGGTACTGGAATTTGTACTAAATCACAGTAATAAAATCCAAAAGTTCAATCAAGAAGTTTGTTTTCTATACTTGGTCATAAATGTGCCAGGAGAAAAAACTATGAGTACAATTATATGTTAATCTACACAAGAACAGATAGCATAATATTGAGAGACATGCATTCATGAAGTTGAATAAAAGATTACTTCAGATACAACTAAGCACGTGCTGTACACTTTTTATGCTGTTGCTTTTGAATGAAAAAAATGCCATAACGTTTATAAGAAATCAGATGTTACAATTACTAAAAGTACAATTGTATTATTTCGTAGGTATGTCATTCCAGATATTCACTGGTTCATATAAGACAAAACAAAATTTGATTATGCACAGATTCAAACAAGAATATTTAGCAGTAAGATAGAACATAGTGTAAATATGGAAAGTTCGCGCCAGATATATGAAGAGATAAACGAAGAAAATTAATCGCTAAATTAAAGTAATTCTAAGCGAAATAGTCAACACTACATATTATTACACATTATTACATTTGTATTCGAAACCTAGTTACTAATGGAAGTAAGAAATATACACAAAGATATACAATACTGGTTCAAATACATACAATATTACTTATTTCATATAAATCTTACTAATTACATTAAATTACACAAAACATATTACATATTGTTACTTAATGCTCAATATAATTACATGTTACATATCATTGTAAATACAAAAGACAGATCATAACCTAATACTTGGTCACATGACTAACAAGTTTATGCCAATGTGTTTAAAAAAATCCTTGGTTATAATCAGTTAAAACTAGCATTGGCATAAACTAGTTTCTGTCATTACTGTCAAAAGCTCACAAAATAATTAAATGCTAACTGAAGCACCATAAGTAATAAGATCATTATATTTTAAAATGAAACAATTTTCAGTGGCAATATTTATTCACAGCAGCAGATCTGTTATTCATTGCGATTTTTATTATACAGTGATTTTTATTATATTGTAGTAAAAGACCAATTTTACTAGTATTTGAAAATCTAAAGAAATTTTTAATCTGTCTCATGATTAAACAGTAAGTTGCAGAATATCATTCATGCCTCAATATTTAAAGGCAATATCATTATCATATAAACAAAAAATAAAAATTTTCATTTGCAATTATTTACTTTAAACTGGATCACAAAGATGAATCATTTTATTAAGACTGAAGAAATATGTTTATAAAAGATGAGCTGGTTTTAGTTAAAAAGCTAAGACAAGACCGAAAATACAAATTTATCCTTTTTAAATAATGTACTAGCATTTTCTTCGATCAAGCATCTGATAATTCAGATCGTATATACTTCAAGTACAGCAAATAAGCTGGCATATTGTGTTGAGTTATTGACATATTGAATCTGTTTAACTTGCAGCAAGTTTTTCACTAGGCCAGTTCTGCTGGCAGAAAGCCAACTTTCAACGTACGAACCCATATGCATGCAACAATTTTTGGTGCCAGAACTGGGATTGAATACCAGTAACAAACATGATGAAAGAGCACTTAAGACGATTGGTGGTAGCCTTTGCTGAGTTCAAAGAAGAGATGAAAGCAGGCCAAGAAAAGATGGAAGGGGTCATCAATTCAACTCAATTCAAGAAACGACTGAAGCAAGTCAAGAGGAAATGAAAGAAAAATTACTGCCATAATAGAAAACAAATTTGAAGGTATGGAAGGCAAAGTAGACACGGCTGAAAATAAAGTTGGAGAAACTGAAGAGAGAATTTCTGCCATTCAAAAAATTAATGAAAAGTTTCTGCTGTTGTCGCCAACAAAGTTGAAAATTTAAAGAAATCCAAAACGACAGCTGGTCATGATTCCGATTCCTTTAAATCCAAATATATCTCATGCTGAAGTCTCTCTGAAGTTAACCACATACAGTGGAAAGATCTCCAGGCAAGTGTGCAGGATGCAGTTTTCTATAGTGGCAAATGAAATGGATGGGATTCCAAAGCAAAAGAATGACATTTCACCACTTCATTGAGAGCAGAAGCAGCGAATATCCTTCAGACTCATCCAAAAAGCCAGAAGCAAGACTTCGAAGCTCTGTCTGGCACTTCGGAAAGAAGTGAAGCCTATAGCTGACTTTAGTCAAAATCTTGCCAACAGAAGCCCATGAAAACATTCTAGGAGTTTGCTGAGATACAAGAAGTCTTGCGAATGGTGGATGTCAAGGATCTAAACAGTGCTTTAATGCATAACATGAATTTCAAGGAAACTCAGCAAAGAACTGATATGGATTGCTACCTGATCAGAGTTGCTCAAATTCAGGAACCAATGGATCAAGTGGAAGCTCGTGTAGATGATTCAACCAGACAAGCCAATTCCTTGAGACAGAATAGGAGTGACAATAAAACATACTTTAAAGTGCTGGAGGCTATGTGTGAAGGAACTGTAGAACATCCCAGGGCATAGAAACTAAGAAGGTTCCCAGCAAGAAGATTGGTGCCCATTTTGCAGGGTGAAATTTGCCAGATAATGAAAAGCTTCATCTTAACACACTTCTGCAATTATTGATGGCAGTGATGGCAGTTAGTGAGGCAGTTAACGCACTTCTGCAATTAGTGATGGCAGTGAATTACTTTCTGCAATTAGTGATGGCAGTAATGGACTTTTTATTATGGAACATATTAATGGAGTTATTTGCAATATGACCATCAATACTGGAGCCATTGTTACCATCACCAGGAGAAATTTAGCTCAACAGTTGGAAGATAAACTCAACTCGACATCACCCTGCCTTACACCTCAGACTATGTTCAGGAATAAAATCAACATCAATGGAAAATTAAATGTTAACATCATGTTTGGAAGTGCATCTACCATCACATGACATATGTAGCAAATATTACAGATCCTACTCAGATTAGACTTTCTAAGGAAATACAATTTTTCGTGAAATTTCAAAATAACAAACTGCATTCTGCCTCAGGGGACATAACCCTATTGGGAATTAACGATGAAGGAGTTAAATCTGCCCACTAAATCATAGTTCAAGATGATATTACAGTACCAGCAAGAACAGAATTTTCATTTCCGGGATCAACAGCCCGAAAACAGAAATTTCCAATATGGTATGATGGAATATCCCGAGAACTGTAACACCCTGTGAAGAGTACTAGTAACCTCAGCAGTCATCAACCTATCAAGGACCTTTATTCTGGTGAGAATTGCCAATGTAGCTGATAAGGCAAAAGTTATTAGGAAAGGTGAAGTTGTGGCAACATGTACTCCAGTGACCTGCGTTAAACGAAACAGTAACCTTCCAAATTCTGTGTCTCCAAAGACCCTAACATAGGAATTATTACACAATGTGCAACTAAGTGATGAAAAAAAAAAAAAAAAAAATGCTGGACAATGTGTCATTCAAGAATTCCTCCCACCAATCTTCTGATGTGGGCTGAATCAGTTTGATACAGCATAGAACTGATATACGAGATCACCAATCAAGCAACATCTAACATGTCTGCCGATTGCTAAACAGGAAGAGGTACTAAAAATTCTAAAGGATATGCAAGAAAGCAATGTCATTGAGCCTTCAGCAAGTTCATGCGCCTCTCCCATTGTCTTGGTCAAAAAGATCATTCAACTAGATTTTGCACTGACTTATTGTCGGTTGAATGAGGTTACAAAGAAAGACAGCTACTCTCTTCCCAGAAATGAGATATTCTGGACACTCTTTCTGGAAGCAAATGATTTTTGATACTTGATTTAAAGAGTGGATATTGGCAGCTAGAGATACACACTGATGATCGACAAAAGACAGCATTTACTACCAGACAAGGATATTGGCAGTTCAAGGTGAGGCCTTTGGGACTATGTAATGTGCCAGCAACATTCAAAGACCTCATGGAGACCATGCTGAAAGGTCTTTCCTATGAAGCCTGTCTGATATCCTTGGATGTCATCATCGTCAGGAGAGTTTTGAAGAACATTTAGAAAATATTAGGAAGGTGCTGCAGAAATTAAAGGAAGCTGTCCTAAAATTATTTTCGGCCAAATGTTAACTGTTCAGACAGGAAGTGACTTACTTGGACATAAGAGATTTGTAAAGGCCTTTTCTTCCATCACAAGACCTCTTAACAAGCTGACACAAAGCAAGCAGAAGTTCTTGTGGACAAAAGAATGTGAGGATGCATTTAACAAACTGAATGAAGCTTTAACTCCAATTCCGATGTATCTTTAGCTTGACAAACCATTTATTCTCGACACAGATGCAAGCAATGAGAGTGTTGGTGCTGTTTTGTCCCAAAAAATAAATGGTCATAGCATAATGGAGCAAGTGTCTATGCTCCATTATGCTATGACCATTTATTTTTTAATGAATGGCAGCCACATCAAACATTTCAAAAAAAAGTTAAACTTTGTATGTTTCACTATCTTGTAATCATGTATGGCTACGTAAATATACATAATAAACTTTTTTTTTTTTTTTTTTTTTTGTCCAACTAGTTTATGTCCAGGCCATATTACGATATCATAGTCTAGGTTATATGAATGCAATAAAAATTATCTTACCAATTTTCAAATCTCTGGTTAAAACAAACTTTTCAGTTGCATCATATAGCAAATCCTAAAACAACATAATACTGAATTAATATACAGAAATAAAATGAAATTTATTATTACACGAAACCTTTATATGTTAAAAGCTAGTAAAAAAAGTTAATTTTAAATGCATATCACAGCTATTTTAGATACTTACATGTTAGCAAAGCCACCTTGTCACAGTTTTATTATTTTTTTTTTTTTACAGAAAAAAAGAATTATGACTTATTTAAATGGCAACGTAGGTATGGTTGCATGCATCACAGCACGGAATTCAATTTTTGAAATTCAGTGGTCATGTTTGTAGTTTACAGGCAATTGGATTAGTGTATGTTATTTTTTCCCTTGTAAAGAACTGTAATGTTAAAGTGAGGTTTGCTTGCCAATTAATAAAAGTATTGAATTTCTTTAGAAAAATGGCATTTTTTCCAATAGTGGAGAATGCTTAAATTTGCATTCCATGAAGTTGTACTTAATTAAATGATCAAATTTTTACGGTGATGCTGGAACTGCAAGATATCACTACCTTCCCAATTATCATGATTTTTGTTTTCGGGTATGAATATTATTATTATGAAGTACTTTTTTTTTAAGTAATAAAATGCATACAAAGTGCATTTAGCTAACTTTTGTTTACCTCTGATGATACATGATTATAGTAACCATGCAGTTTGAAAGTAATACATCAGCTGTTCTTATGTGATTTAGTTGAATTTAAGCAATTTTATGTTGTTTTTTTTAAACGAAAACAGATTGTTGTATGCATGGACAGCAGCACCAAGTTGCTCTGTGATGTTAAGAATTCTGCAGTGCTCTGATTTTTTTCAAGTCAATTAAGAAATTTAACAGGTAGAAAATTTGAAAAGAAAAAAATTAAATGTTTTATTAGGGATTTTGTAACATTTTTTATTTTGTAATTAGTTGCTGTTTTATGTAATTTTTAGTGGGCCACCATTTTTTAAAATGGCTGTTGTTTTTCACATGTTAGGTTGGCGACTTTTCAGGAGTGTTCGGAGCATAATTCAAAAGTACCATTTTTTTAAAAATAATTTTTAGACATATAAATGTATGTGTACACAATATATACAATTATAAAGGTGTTTATAGCCAAAATCAATCAATCTAATTACAAGCAGTTTTTTTTTTGTTTGTTTGTTTGTTTGTTCATAGTGATTACTTTACAAACAGATTCAAGTAACTGTTCCCTTCAGCAGTTTTGGAGTAATATACTGCATTCCAGTTGAAATTTTATGATAATTATATCCACTGCAGGCAAATCCCACAAGCACATACATATTTTAAAGTGAAGTTTAAAAAAAATATGATTTGTCTATAAAAAGTAATAAAAAGAATGTATATGAAAACGGCATTATTGCTTGTTAAAACTGAAAAATCGTTACGTGCATGGTTTCTAGAATTTGGTAACTTCTATTAAGGTGGTTGTGCTCATATGTAAGCATCAGTTTTAAAATTAATATGATCACACTTACAATGCCTGGGGGACCATGTAAGGTTATTTCAGGTACTCCTATATCTTGTATCGTTAGTGATAACCCTAGAAACAAATAAGTTTTGGCATTTGCTATAATTATTTTATAATGCAGTGATTTTATTTCATCAAAAAATAATATTTTATTAAACATATATTCATTGTCAAAAAGAAAAAAAGCTGCATCCTAAGGAAGCAATCTACTTAATCAAGCACATAGGTTCATCCCTGCTAGATAAGCAAATGAGTCTTAAGCTTTCCACTCTTTCTGCAAGAAATAATTAGCTAGGGCGAGGTCTGTTTTTGAATTTGCCACACTACAAAAGGTTGTCTTTAAGGATATAATTTTTATTTTGATCAGTGTTGTTTTATTGAAACCATCAGTTTAAAATTTACAATACCTTTGACACAAATTCAACAACAATTTGAACAGTTGGATGATTTGAGAAGAGTCACATTGTAGGACTGCATGAAGATGGAATGTCATGTTGCTCTACTGTATGCCACACTAGTCACACAGACGTCACTGATGTATGCTGTCAGCAGTGCTGATTTCAGGAAGGTACACGCTCATGCAGGCTCTGAAAGGCCTCCACACAAACACACCCGAAAAAGAAGAAGATCAAACAGCTGTCCAACATATTTAAACTGTCTTCCATGATTGTGAACACTCAGCAAGTAACATCTTTTCCTTGCAGCATCATGTGGGTACCAATATATTTAACATATGGTTGCATGCCACTGGATTACAAAGACTGTTACAACTATCCCTAACACTGCAGCAACATCACTACAAACTGCAGTAGTGCCATCAATGAGCATCATGATGTTATGTTGAATGGCACCAGTAACCTTTAAGTGTCACTTTTATTTTGTGTGAATTGCCATATCTAAACATGGAGAAACACATCATCAAGATAAATGAGTACTTTGGTATTATCACAACCACCCTGGTAGAAGTTGCCAAAATGTGACCATATCGATAACTGTAAGTTTGAGTAAGTAATGCTGCCATTTTTGTACATGCTGTTTTAATTGAATTTGAAGCTCTAAAGGCAAACTGTGATATTGTTTGCCTTCGGATGAATTTTGAAATATGTGCTTGAAGGATTCACCTGCAAACGAAGAAAGTTCTGTGAAATTTTTGAAAGAATACAATATTCTGCCATAAAGGCAGGAATATTAAGATTGACATTAGATGATGATGTAGTTTGGAAAACAACTTTATGGAAATGCAACAGAAAAAAAAGTGTAATAAAAACACCAGCATTCAAAGTGGTAATTGATTCCAAAATTATTACCTGCCATTTACTACAGCAGTCAGATGCTGTAGGAAAGAATTAAAGAGTATTAAATTTTGTTTGGAAGAATTAGAAATGGCTGCTAAGATTGTGGTAGAGTGAGAGTTACTACTTGTAAGTAGTTTTATAAATTGTTTTCTGGGATAAATAATGAACTCAAATTAAAGTATGTACCTAGTAACATGTATGATATGAAATATATAACTTTCTCCAATTTGAAATACCATTCTTCAAAAAATTGACAAATTGCACCAAGATGGTTGCAATAATACCAAAGTATCAATAAATGTATTTTTGCCAAGCACCAGACATCCAAATGGATGGGTGTAGATGGAGGTACGATTTCATACAATGCTTACAGATGGTCTTTATCACAGGCACTTCAATATCTCATTGGTACATTGATGATGTCTCTAAACCAATGGCCCAAATATTTGTGAATGCTCTATTTTAAAAAAACAATGCTCATATTGCTTGCACCCCAAGAGTTCAAATCTTGCAGCCACAATTATTCTGCCATGACTAGCCTTATGAGCAGACCTATTCCCAAAGAAAACTCTAGAATGTTATACACTTCTCTGCCAAGACTCTGCTTCCTGCTTCTCTGCAGTTATAAAATTTGCAAGAATAATAAATAAGACAAAATCCAATCAACCTGCATATATAGGACTACATTAGGGACCTCTATAACTCTATACTATGACACATGTAGCAGAATGTATTAGAAATAACAGTGGCCTGAAATCTTACTGAGAGTTACAACATAACTGTTATGTTGTACAATAAATATTTGTTCTCCTTCTTTGTCATCACCGCTCATTGTGACTACAAACTTTTTTCCAAATTATATTTCCTTTGGGATAGAACTTTCTTCTTTTGAAAATGAGTATACATATACAAAATACTTTAAAATCAATACCTAATAAACCACCTAAATTTTCCCAACTTCTGTGGGTGATGAAAATATGATCCAATTTTGCTAACTTCATTCTGAAAAAAAAAAAAAAAAAAAAAAGTAAATAAAATAAAATCTTATTATACTAACTTTATTATATTTTTAATACTAATTACAAATTAACATACAAGACACATACTTGTATTCATGGGCAAGTCTTTGAGTTCCTTCTCCACAGTTGAAAAGGTATCTAAAGATTTTAGAAAAAATATTATGCCCATTTTTATCTAAGCACTAGTAAAAAATAATCATATAATGATACATGATGTAGAAAATACATTTTTAAATACTGATGATAAAAATAGAAGAAAAACAATACAAAATTCTTGATGTGGGAAAAAAAAGCATTTTATATTTCTTACAGTTTCTCATCAGTACCTCCTTGAACAGCAAGCCGCCCTTTTGCTGTGTCAATAATCCCCTGCTTAGCACCATTCACCTAATACCTGAGCCTGAGCAGCTAAGAGTAAATTACTTGAAAACTATCCTAAACATCATCTATCACACTATATGCACTTAGTTAATCAATATAGGATTAATTAAATAAGTACATGCAATGAAATTTGAAAATGAATGTTTTGCTTACTTTTTTAAATATGCTAAATCTTGAACAATTTACTTCTAATACAGTCAAAAGTCTTTAATCCGTAATGATCTATAATCTGGACCTCAAATCTACAAACTTTCTGCGCATGCATAAACGCATAATACGTGCGCTTTTAAAGTATAACGGACGGTATAAGCTAAGCTAAAATTATCCAATTATCTATTCAGTTAATGTTGCAGATTGTGTTGTTCCTTAATCTTCTAATTGGATTTGGCTTATTATTTTTTGCAGACTGTTAGAGCAATTTTATAAAAGTAAGCTTGAACTTTCGATTATGTCAAAAAGAATTTCCGATTCTGGAGCTGCCAAAGGATCTACAAAGCGAAAGCATGTTTCAATGTCCATCAAACAAAATGTGGAATTGTTGCAAAAAATGGATAAAGGCATATCCTTTGTTTCTCTAACCATTCCGAAATCTGTTTATCAATTTCACGCTGCTCTGCGGGAAGGCGGCGCGGCGCGTAATGAATTGGAAGTTTGATCTGTCAGCACTATCCTTATCTTCAGGGCAGATGTTTTTATTTTATTCAGCTTATAATTCCTTACTAAATGTAGTATTTCATCTCGATGTATTCCGTCTTTGATATGATTTAAATCAAATTCCTCGTCATTATAAATATCACGAATACACATCATATAGTTCCACTTTTCTAATTTCGATTATGCGTAATGTATGCTTTATGCATGCGTGCATTGAAAAAATGTTTAATAAAGTAAACAAATAAATATTAAGCTTTTTTTTGTAAATTTTGATACCCTTTAGATCATAATTGCTCTTTATTTCATAAATTACGGTTTCATATTTTTAATTTTATAATTTCTGCCTGCCATTTTACCAGATTTAAACTGATGATCTATAATCTGAAATCGCCGAAGTCCCGATGAGTCCGGATTAAAGACTTTTGACTGTATATACATATGCCAATTTGGATTTTAATTTACTGTGCACAACCTGACTTTTTTTTAAAAAAAAAAATCTGCGGGTTCTGAGTATAGTGAAATGCTTTTCTTTTTCTAATACCAGATGTACAAATTTCTGTATAATTTAAAATAGTGTTAGATTTTCAGTTTTGAAGATTTCATGAAGCAGTCCTTTATGAAAATGCAACTACTTTGTGATGAACATTTAATTGATTTCAAGAAATGATTAGTCAATGAATAGTAGTATTTAAAGCAAACAAATTTATTAAAAACATAAAAAGACGACTATTATTAATGACTTATGAAGCAACATAAAAAGTTCACTGTGTTCTAAAAATAATAATCAAATCACAATCATTTTTCTCCCAGTACAACAGCTCTATAGTTATACTTAAATACTCTTTACACTGGTTGCAGTGAAGGAAAAATCAACTGATAATTTGAAATTTATTAAAAATTACTTGAGACTTGTTTAGATAATCCAAATTAAATATTTTTAGTAATCTTTATACAGAATATGATGTTTTAAAAAGAATAAATATTAGATAATTTATGTGTAGGTTTACAAAAAAATGCATACAATAATTGGAAGTTTTCTTCTTCTTTTTTTTTTTTTTTCTATTTTCCGATTTTCTGCACTCTTTCCTCAAAAGTGAATTGATTGGCAATTCTGCAAAGAAACATTTGCTTAGTATCTATTTCAAAGATGCAATTAGTGGTTTATTAGGAATTTTTTTACACTATTTTTTCCATAGAAGACATGGGCACTTCTAAATTTTTTGCTCTTTTTCTCTCTCCATGTGCAAAGTTTTTGCTGGAAGAAAATCAGAGAATCGAAAACACTCGGCATTATGCATGGCCACAGTGGCACAAGAATATAAAAGTTATTGATTGGTACAAATCAGAAATTCCAATGAATTTTTGTAAAACTTACTTTAGCAATTTAAAGTACAAATCTTAATTATTCAATAAAGGTTACAAGATACATTAAACATTACGTATATTATATGATACACTATGGATGTTCTATGTACACAATCTCGTATTTTCACATAAAAATGCTACACAGAATTTTACAACCTCAGCATCGCTCACATAGAACATTCAGTCTTACTCAACTGAACATATCCCCATGCACCACCATAACACACACTCTTTCCCCTTCATTCCAAATTATAAAAAAGAACCTTAAATCACATTTTTCAGTTATGATAATAAATGATTAAGGAAAGCTGAAACAAACATATATTCCAATATAATGAAAGAAAGACATGTGTTCCATTCCAAAGATCTAAAAATATGCAGTTTTAAAAATAACAAACAGCATTAAGAAAGAGTTAATGTACCATCAAGAGAGAAATATCTCAGTCTCACTAATTTACATTATCAAAAACTAAAATTATTACAATAAAATCATTAACTAAGGATGAAAAGAATAAGATCACACGATCAATGAAATTGCCAAATTTGGTGAATACACAAAAGTTTAGCCACTAAGAACAGTCAAAATTTCAATATACACTGCAATGGAAATAAATAAGGGAAAACGCTCCATTACAATGCATTATGACAAAAACATATATTTTCAGAAAAAAAAAAAAAAAATAGTACCAAGAAAGTATACTTTTCAGTATCAAATATGCAAATCTACGTGTACTCAAACACACATGTGCTACGTGCATACCAAGCTTTTGTCTGCATTGCATATTTTTATAAAAGAAAGTAAAGTGTGTTAATAAAAATGCATCATGTATTTTAAAATAAAATATTCTGCAAGTTACTTATTTTATTATATGTAACATTTAATGACTAATTTCATTGTGATTAAGGGCCAAAATTTTTTTACCCTATGCGTTCAAACTTTAGTTGGTGCCAAAGTTAACATATGACAAAAACTTGAAGCAGACTGGATTATTTATCACAGATGAAAAACAAGAAAACTGTGCACTTGATCGGATAAATGATAATGTAATACTCAATCAGTACAGAGACTACAGCAGGCTTCAATTAAAATCCCGTCAACAGTAGTGCCCCAAAATACTCCAGGAGCTCGTCACAGATGTTGAAAGGCTATCGCAGCTTGCCTTTTTGGAATGCCCAGAAACAAGGGGAAGACAGCAAGGTCTACGAATAGCGGATGTCAAGAACATAAAAAGCGCTCCATTGTACACCATGAAATTTGAGGCAACCCAGCAAGAAACTTGTAGCAATCGCCACCCGGTCAGAGCTGTGCAAGTCCACGAGCAAGTGGTTCAAGTGATGGCTTGTTTAGATGATTTAACCATACAAATTAATACTTTAATATGGGAAAGGAGTGAGAAGAAACTGACTTTAAAGTGTTGGAAATGTGGTGCTGAGAGCCACATACGAAGGAGCTGCAGAACACCACAGGGTACAGAAAATAAAACAGATGATTTGAAAAGACCAGTCAGTGCCTTGAGATGGAATAGGAGTGGAAAGAATCCAATTCTAAAAGTACTGGAACTGCGGTGTTGAAGGCCACACTTGAAGGAACTGCAGAACACCCCACAGCACAGAAAATAAGACAGACGATTCCATACCATGAGATGGAAAAGGAGCGACAAGAAATCAAAGTGCTAAAATTGTCGAACTGAAGTCCACATACGAAGGAACTGCAGAACACCCCAGGGTATGGAAAATGAGACTCAGCAATGACACAGGAAACAAATTAATGATCATATCGCTGAGTAGAATTTGAATGATAGTGAAAAACCCTGCTTTAAAGTGCTCACGATTTCTGCAGTGAGAGGCAGCAGTAATGGACTATCCATCATTGGGTATATTGATGGAGTTCTTTGCAATATAATCATTGACACAAGAGCTAATGTTACTATCACCTGGAAAGATTTAGCTCAACAGTTTAAAGATAAACTCATTTGGACGCCATCCTGTTTTACCCTCCAGACTGCGCCTGGTGATAAATTCGTCACAGATGGGAAGTTAAACACTAAAATCATGTTTGGAATTGCCGCCTACCATTACACGGCATATGCAGCAGAGATTACAGACCCTTGTATACTTGGATTTTTGAGGAAATACAGTGTTTCCTTGGACTTCAAAAACAACAAAATGCTTTCAACATCAGTGTGTGTGTGTGTGTATGTATGTGATTATGGCAAAGCATCGAAGGCTATCTGCCTAAAGGAAGGGATGCCTTCATGGAGGACTTTCTAAGGAAAACTGGCTTGTATACACGTTACACATGGGGAAAACTACGAAAACGCCCATGCAGCCAGCCTGTTCATGGGGTTCAAACCTTGTACCGAACTACCAGGCTTTCAACATCAGAGGACATAACTATCCATTATCAGAAGGGATCCTCACCTGGAAAAACCAACTCCTTGTCTGAAAGACCCTTCTCAGAAAGCAGCCGAAATAGGGATTACTAGGATCGAAGAGAAACACGAGACTAACGGCTACTCTCCATCCTAGATGCTCATTGGTTGTGACCTTTGTTTGCCTTGCGATCTTTTGTTTGGTTGCCCTTCGGATGCACCTTCATCGCCTGAGGAATACATTCAAGATCTCCAGGCCCAGTCTGAAGTGATGTAGAACTTTGCACGAGAGCGAGTCAACTTGTCGACAGAAAAGATGAAGATCCAATATTTGACTAGAGCTACTGGACATCGATTCAACAAAGAAGACAAGGTGTGGTTATGGAATCTGACTCAGTGAAAAGGACTATACGAAACTACAGACACCTTGGGATGGTCTGTACACAGTCCTAAACTGGTTGAACGACGTCATGGTTCGGATCCGTAAGTCATCGAACTCTAAACCTAAAGTCGTTCATTATGACAGGTTAGCTCTTTACTATGGTAATAGTATGCAGTGTGTATAATTGTAAATAGTATAAGACAGTGGTCCTTCTTGTTTCTAAATTTGTATTTGATTTGATTTGTATTTAGCATTTGATTTGTTTAAAGTTACTTACTGTAATTATTGTTTATGTTGCTTGTTATTGTAATGTAATGTTTATTATTGCCTTTTTGTCTTAGTTGTAAGTTTGGCTTCCTGTCCAGGGATTGTACTGCCCAGGATGTGCAGTCCTTGGGAAGGGGGCAGTGTTACAGATTTTGTATTTAATTTGCTATTTTTAGTAAATCTATTAAAATGTTTTATTCCCTGTGTACGCCGCACATGACGAGTTTTAAGAGAAAACTATGGCGGCAAAGTAAAAAGCCTGCGCATGTTTACCTGATAATTTTCCTACTTTTTAATTTTTGTTTTTCCAGAACCTCGGAGAAAATACCAGGCGCAAACGCTTATACATGGTTCGCAGCCCTTTTAGTTTAAAAAAGCACCTTATGCTCTTTTCAAACACTTTCCTTAATGAGTAAGCAATTATAATTAAAAATTTTTGTTTTATGAGCAGACATTACATTTGTTAATTTTTCTTGCCTTTGCAAACAGCTCATTTTTAGTTTCATGAAGAACAAATATTTTTTTGTCAATTTATATTCATTATCTTAATTTGCAGTTTCAGTAAAACTATTATTAAGCCAATTTGCTGTACAAAAATTAAATTTTTCATGCGTATTCTGTTTAACTTGGTCCAAATAAAGATAACCTTTGTTTAACAGATAATTCATTACTCACTTTTTTTTAGAACTCCCCCTCCAACTGGGACTTTGGGAAATTTCATCTTGTGATTCAGTAAGTATCTACTTGAATAAGCGCTGGCCACAGAACTTCAATATTGCATCACAGGGTTTTGAAAATAAGGAATTCCAAGCACCAATACGATTGTTGTGCTCCGTTCAGCGCAATATGAAAAATAACATAGCAATGATGTTTAATTACAGCAGTAAGAACACAATTTGCACCTAATTAAAAACATCCTAAAAATTCGTCAGCCCTGCAAATAAAAATTATAATTCCAATATAATTTAATTTATAAACTCGATCCCTGTTTTACATTGTTTCCGGATCTCATTTTATATGCGAATTCTGCTTACAATGACAACAGAAAACTTTTATCTAAACCAATGTCCAAACATGCATTTCTTTTTATCACCTGTATTTTATTTTAACAAATGCTCAGGTACAGACTTTTAGTAGTATTGAGATGGTAGGGGAAAAGCTGGCAACTTCAATTATCCAAGTACATTATTTATATGATAATTTAATTTGCTTTTGAAGAACCCGGAACTAAGCGTAATGGCTACTCGGAACTATCAATTTGAAGTTTTGATCCCTTTGTAGGTTATGGTGTGGTTGTCGAGCCGAATGGCTTACCAAGGTAAAACTTTTTATCTCTGCGAAAATCGCAACATTATTACGCAATATGGGACTTAATCTCCGCACGTGATATTACGCAATCGGAATCAACAGCTGCTGGTATTCGGAGAATAAATAACTAAATAAAGGAAACCGCACCCTTTGTCCGGTTTTCACCGTCATGCGCCCATATGGCATATTTATTGTTGCGCAGGACATGTCGTGCTCCGCGCAATATCTCTGTCATACTATTATTGATTATATTAGATTGGTAAACGGAAAAGCTGGCAAAACGGAAAAGTTCCGGGATTTTATATTTTATTTTTAAATATAAGGACTTATAAGCACTTGTAAGGACCACTACGAACCCTGTAAAAGCTGGAGGAAACATCTCAATTTAGTTTTGTT